CATGAGACTTCCCCCTTGGAAGGGACGTGTGTGGGTATGTGTGCAGGTTTTGGATAGGCCACTTCTGGCTGGCAGTTGTTGCTGAATTAGAGCTTTCAGTAGTCCCTGAAGATCTAGTCCATTTGGTATATTACAGAAATAGCCCTGTATGTGAATATTTATTTGGAAGGAAGCCCCACTAAACTAGGTTGACCCCAACAGTGGCACACTCCATATTTAGGCTGCCTTCTACAAAGCCCCCATCCTTCATGGGCTTCTCACCAGAGGCTTCATCACACACCCATCAGGTTCCATTGAGCAACATCTACTGCTTCGGTTGCCAGCTGTCCAGCTGATCGCTCTTGCTGCAAAGCAAAGGGGGCTTTTGTCAAAAGCCAGGCTCAGCTTGCCTGTTCCACTTGTAGAGTGTGAACACTTCTGTATTATAAATTGCCCCCCCCCCATTACAAACAGCGACTAAAAATCTTTCACTGGCAAAAAACAGAGGAGTAAAGGGGTAGAAAAAGCCTACTGGGACTGGCATGAGCTAGTCACTGCAGTCACTCCCAGCATTATGCTGAACCCCTCTTGGAGAACCAGAGAGGCCAGGACCCCTTCCAGCTGTTGAGGTTCGTAGCTATAATCCATGTCGGAAGGAAGATGAATGAAAGCAAAAAAAGTCATCCCCACAAAGAGTGGTTTTAATTCAAATATTTTTTAATAAATCAAAGGAGAGGTTAAAGTTGACTTGCTGGTGACTTTCAATAGCCCCCTATCAGTCCTTAAACACATATATTTGAAGAACGGCTCTGACTGTGTTAATCTGTCCTGCTTGAAGTCTCTCTTTCCTGGAGACGCAACACAAAGAGAAACCCAAAGGACAACCAGCTTTTCTCAGCAGTGGGACCCTGGCTATGCAATGCCTTTCTTAAGGAGGCTCCCTGGGCTCCAGCATTGCCACCTTTTCAGTGTGGAGCAGCACATTCCTTCCATCCAGGAACTTCAAGGTGGCACAACCTTTGCCAGGTCCAGCCTGAGACTGGGAAGATCCTCAGCCAGAGAGTTCTTCTGGGTGACTTGGGGTGAGTCTTTCTGTCAGCCCAACCCACTCACTGCTTGAGGGGATACAGTGAACCTTATCTGGTTGAAGGACGAGATGCTGAGTCCACTATGCTGTGTTTCAGCAGAAAATGCAAGAGAGAAGCAAGAATGCCAACGTGCTTCTTCATATACACTCAACGCTTATACAGTTTTGCTCATGCAAAGCTTGGGCACACACTTAAAAGAAAACATGTATACTCCAAATCCCAGACTTATTAAGCCTGATTCTAAAGACTTTATATCTGACTTTTGTGGAAGATATCCAGTCTTTACCCGTCTGCAGAGGTCCAGCACCATGTTCAAGAACGAAATAGAGCTCTCCCGGAAAGGACACTCGGTGACTGCATTGGCCCAGAGCATACGTCTTGGTATGTTTAATCATGCTTTAGTGAATAAACCATAATTAACAACTACCAGCCTGGAAGTTACAGTCTTGCACATCCGGAGGGCCTATGATTGGAGATGGCAGATAGAAGTGAGGTTTGCAAAGTGGCCTCAGGACTTTGGGGGGTCAGAGACATTTCAGTGGGTAGAGGACAGTTCTAATGGTTGTTCCTCTCACAAAAGAACAACAATGAGGGAATGTCCACTGGGGTGGTGGTGAGTGCAGCATCAAACTGGGGGATATGATTGAGGGATTGAAGCCACACCTCTTTTTCATGTGTGCAATGCATGCAATGTGTGCAACACACTTTAAAAGGGGGCATGGCCTCAATTACCAGTTTGAAGCCACCAGTTTGATGCTGTTGGCTCCCATTTGTGGACAGCCCGGCATTTCTCTGCTTATTTTCAGCAGTTGTGACAGATTTCCAAGTACAGAATTTCTCGGCACCAGTATTTACACTTTTTTGTCTGAATTGCATAGCTTTCCACCTGAGGTTTCTATACCCTCCATTAATAGATAGGAAGGAACGTTTTGAAAGGAAGAGGTATTTGAGTGGAAAAGCCCTAAAGCCATGTTCCAAAGCAGTCTGACAGGTCAGGGGTTGCAAAGGAAACACTCTCTCTACATCTCTCCTCTCTGCAGTCCCCCCATTGCCACTGCTGGTCTGCTGCTGAATGGACCTGGAAGACTGTGTCCAGGTAGAGATGGGAGGCGGTGTGCCCACACCAGCCCAAATTGGCCTGGTTTTACCCATGGGGGTCACCTGAATTCAGCACCAATTGGCCAGTGAAGCATATCATAGTATTTCCATAGGAAAACTGTTATGATTGAAGCTGGAAGGGCCTACTGTTGAACCAGAACAATTAAGGAATGCTTCATGGGCTTCAGGCATGGGCAGCAGATTAGATAGAGGGAAACATGAGGACGTGGAAGAAAAAAGAGGTTGCTGGGACATGTTGGTGCCATGGATAGTTGCGAGCAGGAAAGAGCTGTGCATAGACTCCCAACTGTTTGGGATCTGTGGGCAACCAGGCTTGAAAAAAGCTTGCCTGCCCTGTTAGCCATGTCTCAGCCATGTCAGATTTGTGTGAGTTCAGAAGAGGGCTACCAAGAGTGTGAAGGGTCTGGAAACAAGCCATATGAAGAACAATTAAGAGATCTGGGAGTTGTTTTGATGGATGGATGGATTGATTGATTGATTGTGTGGCATGAAGTCAGTGTGAACTCTTAGTGATCATGTAGATAGACCTTTTTCAGGATGATCTGTCTCCAACTTGGTTCTTCTGGTCTTCCAGTGGTGCACCCATCGGTGATGTAATGGAGTCCATCCACCTTGCTGCTGGTCATCCTCTTCTCTTTCCTCCCGCCTTTGCACCATTATAAACCTTTCGAGAGACCTAAGTCTTCCTATCATGTGTCCAAATACAAGAATTTCTGCCAGTTCTAGCATGTAAACCCTTCTGTATTTTAAACTGCCCCCTCCCATTAGAAACAGTGACTAAAAATCTTTCACTGGCAAAAAACAGAGGAGTAAAGGGGTAGAAAAAGCCTACTGGGACTGGCATGAGCTAGTCACTGCAGTCACTCCCAGCATTATGGTGAATCCCTCTAGGAGAACCAGAGAGGCCAGGACCCCTTCCAGCTGTTGAGCTTCATAGCTATAATCCATGCTGGAAGAAAGATGAATGAAAACAAATGAACTCATCCCCACAAAGAGTGTTTTTAATTCAAATATGTTTACATAATTCAAAGAAGAGGTTAATGTTGAGCTGCTGGTGACTTTCCTTAGCCCCCTGCCAGTCTTGAAACAAAAATATTTAAAGAATGGCTCTTACTGTGTTAATCTGTCCTGCCTGAAGCCACTCTTTCCTGGAGACGCAACACAAACAGAAACAGACAGGACAACCAGTATTTCTCAGCAGTGGGGTCCTGGCTATGCAGTACCTTTCCTAAAGAGGCTCCCTGT